GAGAGAGAGAATTTAAAAAATAATTGATTTTTATAAATAACAAAATCCTATTTTGTTAACATTTTGCACGCAATATATAGTACTAATATAGTATGTTAAGCAGTAAACTAGTTGTTTAATGTCATTGTCATGTCATTGTCAAACATTTATACGTGCAATGTTTTTATAGTAAATCAAAATGTTAATTTACAAAATATTATTTAACAAATAATTTTGTTAAAAACGTTAAAAAATTAATAAATCTTGCTTACATGATGCTGATAATACGTTATATTTCACATGTAAAACAAACAATAATCAGTGATTACAATAACAGTGTATGTTTTCCTGGCATTATATAATCCATGTAACGTTAATAGATATTTTATCATATTAAAACTCATGTGGTATAACCACATTCGCCATAGTTATTTTTCAATACCATGAATATAAAAATAGTATATTAACGTTGATATAAATTAGTACACGCTTTTAGCATTAAGTTTAAGTTGAATGTTTTAAACAACATGCTAACTTGAGCATAAGTGAAATGTTATAAAAGTGTAACAAGTAATGGATTTTAATAATAAGCACTTTAGCATTAAAATAATATGTACATAATACTCATTTGAATTTTATAGTTTGTTTTAATTTCATTAAGATAAAATAGACTTGTTTTGAATATAATCAATTAATGCCATATGTTGCTATACAGAAAGTTTGATCGAGTATGCTTATCTGACAAAGGAAAATGTCCCTATTCAATTGATGCAAATATATAGTTTATAAAGTATTAAAAAACTAAGTTTAACTGTACTTAAAGCATAGTTTTTAAACCCACATGAAATTAAAAATTTTATTTTTGTAAACCAATTGACAATGTTATTTAATTAAGCATTTAATAATATATTTAGTTAAGATTTCCCATAGAGTTTGCATGACGTGTTCAACTAATGTTATGTCTTTACGAATAAAGTAATTTCAAATTATGTTTAACCTATAGCATCGCGTGTGAGCCTTGTTTACTATAAAATTAATCACCATGGGCATTACGCCCAGGTAAAGCAGGTAAAATTGATCATGAACATAAAAATTTTACACAAATATTAGACACTTCGTTCATTACATAATTACAATTATAAAATATAATTTCATAAAAATAAACTATTCACATTCATCTAATAAATGTCTTTCAAACTAATTGCAATAAATTATTAAACATGATTAATGATACGTCCGGTTGCGGCGCGCATACAGCGCTCGGCAGCGGCCAAATCATCACAAACCGGGAGCCCTAACGCCTGCAACCGTTGGCCGTACCGCTCGTCAAACAGCGCCGACTCCGCGTCCGTCATGTGTCGCCTCCAGTCGCCAATAGTGCCCTTCCGTACGAACTGTGCGCCGGGTTTGCCGTAACGGGTCATCACATCCGACATATTGGCCGCCGGATTGTCGCGCATTTCGCTCAGCGAACAGTGGGTCGCGATATTGGCCACCGTTTCGCCGGTCATGTGTTTGCCGAGAAAGCGGCCGATTGTGGCGATCATTGCCGCCGAGTCGGCGATCAACTCCTCGTACGCCACGAACAGTACGTTCGGGTGATTCCCAGTGCTGTACGCGAGCCAGAAGTCGGTCACGTGTGACAACCAATCGCCGCCAATGGTGTCGCCGTTCAGAAAGAGTTGGCAGAAGTCGTGCCAATCTATGGACGCAATCATCATATGGTGGAAGTGGTATAACGAGACGCACACGTCCTTTGGATTACGCATTATGTATATCATCTATAGTAGATAAATAATATTGTTAATTATACTATTATTAAATCTCTCTCTCTCTCTCTCTCTTTCTCTCTCTCTCCAATACTTTTCCCTCTTTGCCCTCAAATCGTGGTAAATATTTGGTCGACAAATGATTAACAGTAATTCTGGGATCAGTCAACCCTTCAAACCAACTGTAATTGCAATCGACGTGAACCGCGAGCATAATGTTGGGCACCCTTTCAGATATGGACCGATTGGACACTCTGTCGACCACTCCGTCGGCCATTATTAGGGACACTATCTCCGAGAGCCAAGTGTTGCCTGACTTCATGTAACCGCTGATCCATATGTCTGTCGGCCTAATAGTGGTGTCCTTTACTGTTTGGTGCCATTCAATAATACTGGGCTTATTTGGCAGTATATGACCATGGTGCTCAATATAATAATTGTTGACATTTATGGCCGCTATATATTTAGCCCGGCGTTCAATTTGCTCGTTTGACATCGGCTTTGAATTCATAATTTTTACACAACAAATACTTTAAGTCAAATTAATTTTTTAATTAATTAATTAATATATTGTTCAGAAATATTTATTATTACTGAATTTGTAAATTGTTTAATTCAAGTGATATAGTGGTAGAAAATACATGAAGCTGTAATAAATATTTTTGTAGAAAATTTAATTGCATTGTCATTTAAAATTGGTGCTGAGCATGTGACCAAGGGTAAATAAAATTATTTGTTATTATTCTTCAATGGACATTCATATTTATATTTATTTTTTGATACCATATAAATGTATATTTCTTTTTCGAATATGCCACATTATAATTAAATTATCACATTGCTTACAAACATGAATAATTAAAATGACTGAAACTAAACATATTCTTAATTAAATCATATTACAAATTATTTACCAAATTATATTAAGTTATAAACACCATGGCCATTTCTTGAAATTTATTTGACGTCAAGAAATGTCATTTTTCTCAAATCATTATATTTTTTTATTTGTCATAATAATTAAAAGAATATTTAAATTTTTGATATCAATTAATAGAAAATATCTTTATTCAAAATTTATATAAAGAGTTACATATAATTTATTTGTTTATTAAATTTTAAATTTTTATCGAATAAGCATTGTCAACTTATCCTAGAGCACATTGACACACAATATCATTGAGATACTTATTACAGCGATGATCAGACGAATAATGCGCATGCTTGTCGTTTTGTGATTTATTCATTATAAACGTTATAAATTTTGACTAAATATTTTACCCTTTAGTTACTCATAAATATTCATATCTACAAACCCTTCCTTTCTATTTCTATAACACAATATAT